GGTAATACTTCATGATGAGGTCTATCGATGGTCCATATTTGGTCTTGATAACTTCTACAGAAACGAGAAGAGGGCATGTCAAAAAAATGTTGGAAGAAAAAAAAGAAAAAACTAGTATCTCAATTGTTTGTAAAACAATTGAAAGGTCTTTCCTGTTAAAGTGATGTTTTCGTAATGTACTTTGTACGACCTTTCATTTCATATACGACAAGCATACCTTCTGAAACTTTTTGCATTTTACACTTAATGACCCCATCCGCCTTAATTTTCGAGATCGGAAGTATGATATATGTAATGTAGACTTGATGATCTTTCATTTGATATGCGACAACGCCATGTTCTAGAAAGTTTGATTTTAGCACTTAATAACCCCATCCAACTCATTTTTTGAGGACAGGAATCTGATATTTGAAATGTTCACGTTACGACCTTTCATTTGATATACAACAACCTTACCTTAAAAGAAAATTTTATTTTTTGCACTCAATGACCCCACCCAACCCATTTTTTGGGGACATCAATTTGATATTTGAAATGTACGCTTCATGGACTTTCATTTGATATGCGACAACCTAACCATCTGAGAAGTTTGAATTTTTTGCACTAAATGACCCTACCCTTCCCACTGGAATGAAAAAGGGGTTTAGAATTTTCATTTTTGAGTAGAGCTTATTAAGACCTTCAATTTGATATATCAAATGACCCCATTTGGCAAAGTGCCAACAATGATGCAATATCAATTGTATAAATAGAACTTATGAAACTCACAAAGTCAATGCAAAACATGAAAATTTCAAATTGATTTTTTGGAGTTTTTTTTCATTGAATGTTTTTGGTATTTAGTCAAACATATAACCATGTTAAACTCTTCACTTTCTGAAAATTTCAGGTGGTTACCTGTTGTTAATTCAGAAATACATGCCTCCGCTCTCAAAATTTCAAACTGCATTATCTCTAAAACGACAATAGATATCTCAAATCTGTTAAATGATAAATGATCTGCAATTAAAGGGCAACATTGTATAAAAAATTGGGGCTATTCCAAAGTTCATCAAGGTCACAAGGAATCATCAAATATATGATGCAATACCAAACTTGAGAACCGGAAGTCGTAGAGACATGGGACTACCACCATTCAACTCAGGACCACTTGACCTTTCAAATATCACGAGGTCAAGGTCATAGTACACTTTGAATGGTCAAGGTAAAATTTCATCATGACCTGACATTGACCTCAAACTGAAGGTCTTAAAATACTGATCATTTTTGCAGTTTATAGTAGGTTGATATCTGTTACCTTTTAAAAGATATGCACACAATACTATACTTTAAAGAATTTTCTCGTCGTAACTTTTGAACAGACGGTCGGACATTTTTGAGCTTAATGTATAAAATGTAGAGCTCATCAAGAGGAACATTTTATACACAGTATGTATGCAGCAAACTCTTATCGTTTTCTTAATATGTAAGCTTGAAATTGCAGCGTAAATTCTTTTTGCACTCAGTGACCTTTGATTTTGGGTGTAAGTTAAAGGTCACATGAATTAAAGATTATTGGTAAAAGTCCCAAGTCTCTACGACTTCCGGTTCTCGAAGTAGAAATTTTAAAAAAATGTGTATAATTTTTCAACAGAAATAACTCCTTATAAGGGTTAATAACAAAATAATTGTTTATGTTTATTAACATTGCCATTTGTTCTTATACATGCTGCCATTTTCAAATTGATTCTATCTGTAATACTTTTAAAAAAAAATGCAAATAAAAGAAATTGCTCCAAGGGGATATAACTCGCATAGGAGATGATGAAATCCTATGCAGCCTCATATGGTAGTACATCATGATGAGATCTACCTATTGTCCAAATAAGGTCATGATATCTTAAAAAACAACGAGTTGGGGCCATGTCGAAAAAATCCAATAAAAGGGAGATAACTTCTACAGGGGATGATGAAATCCTTAACAGGGTCATCTGGTAATACTTCATGATGAGGTCTATCGATGGTCCATATTTGGTCTTGATATCTTCAACAAAAACGGGGGAGGGCATTCCCAAAAAAATGTTGGAAGAAAAAAAAGAAAAAAAAAAAAAAAAAAAAAAAGAAAAAGAAAAAAAAACTAGTATCTCAATTGTTTGTAAAACAATTGAAAGGTCTTTCCTGCAAAAGTGATGTTTTTGTAATGTACTCTTTAAGAGCTTTCATTTGATATACGACAAGCATACTTTCTGAAAATTTTCACTTTTTACACTTAATGACCCCATCCGCCTACATTTTTGATATCGGAAGTATGATATATGTAATCTAGACTTGATTATCTTTCATTTGATATGCGACAACGCCATGTTCTAGAAAGTTTGATTTTTGCACTTAATAACCCCATCCAACTAATGTTTTGAGGACGGGAATCTGATATTTGAAATGTACACGGTAAGACCTTTCATTTGATATACAACAACCTTACCTTAAAAGAAAATTTATTTTTTTTGCACTCAATGACCCCAACCAACCCATTTTTTGGGGACGTCAATTTGATATTTGAAATGTACGCTTTATGGACTTTCATTTGATATGCGACAACCTAACCATCTGAGAAGTTTTAATTTTTTGCACTAAATGACCCCACCCTTCCCCCTGGGATGAAAAGGGGGTTTTACATTTTCATTTTTGAGTAGAGCTCGTTAAGACCTTCAATTTGATATATCAAATGACCCCATTTGGCAAAGTGCCATAAATGATGCAATATCAATTATATAAATAGAACTTATGAAACTTACAAAGTCAATGCAAAACATGAAAATTTCAAATTGATTTTTTGGTTTTTTTTTTCATTGAATGTTTTTGGTATTTTGTCAAACATATAACCATGTTAAACTCTTCAATTTCTTATAATTTCAGATGGTTACCTGTTGTTGATTCAGAAATACATGCCTCCGCTCGCAAAATTTCAAAGTGCATTATCTCTTAAACGACAACAGGTATCTCAAATTTGTTAAAAGAAAAATGATCTACAGTAAAAGGACAACATTTTAGAAAAAAAATTGGACATTTCCAAAGTTCATCAAGGTCACAATGAATTATCAAATATATGATGCAATATCAAACTTGAGAACCGTAAGTCGTAGAGACATGGGACTACCACCATTCAACTCAAGACTACTTGACCTTTCAAATGTCACAAGGTCAAGGTCATAGTACACTCTGAAGGTCAAGGTTAAATTTCATCATGACCTGACATTGACCTCAAATTGAAGGCCTTGAATTACTGATCATCTTTGCAGTTTATAGTAGGTTAATATCTGTTACCTTTTAAAAGATATACATATGTTACTATAGTTTTAAGAATTATGTTAATGTAACTTTTGAACAGACAGTCGGACATTTTTGAGCTTAATGTATAAAATGTAGAGCTCGTCGAGAGGAACATTTTATACACAGTATGTATGCAGCAAACTCTTATGGTTTTCTTAATATGCAAGCTTGAAATTGCAGCGTAAAGTTTTTTTGCACTCTGTGACCTTTGACCTTGGGTGCAAATTGAAGGTCACATGAACTTAAGATTATTGGTGTAGGTCCCAAGTCTCTACGACTTAGGGTTCTCGAAATACAATTTTTCAAAAATTGTGTATATTTTTTTAAGAGAAATAACTCCTTATAAGGGTCAATAACAAAATTATTTTATATGTTCATTAACATTGCCATCAGTTCCTGTATATGTTGCCGTTTTCAAATCGATTCTATCTCTAATACTTTTTGAGAAAAATGCAAAGGAAAGAAATCGCTTCAAGGGGATATAACTCGCATAGGAAATGATGAAATCCTATGCAGTCACATATGGTAGTACATCATGATGAGATCAACCTATTGTCAAAATAAGGTCATGATATCTTCAAAAACAACGAAGGGGGGCCATGTTGAAAAAATCCAATAAAAGGGGGATAACTTCTACAGGGGATGATGAAATCCTTAACAGGGTCATGTGGTAATACTTCATGATGATGTCTATCGATGGTCCATATTTGGTCTTGATAACTTGAACAGAAACGGGGGGAGGGCATTCCCAAAAAAATGTTGGAAGAAAAAAAAGAAAAAAAAAAAAAAAAAAAAAAAGAAAAAGAAAAAAAAAAAAAAAAAGAAAAAAAAAAAACATTAGAAAAACAATAAGGTCTTTCCTAACGGAGTGGAAAGACCTTAAAAAAAAAAGAAAAAAAAAAAACATTAGAAAAACAATAAGGTCTTTCCTAACGGAGTGGAAAGACCTTAAAAAAGAAAAAACATTAGAAAAACAATAAGGTCTTTCCTAACGGAGTGGAAAGACCTTAATTAGACAATTGCAACGATATCTTCCTTTAATCATGAATGTTAATCTACCATACTAACCGTTTCGTCAGAACCCACAGGTAAGAATAAAATTACAGGTTTATTGCCTATATATATCTTAACTGATAAATGGTTACTATTTATAAATCAGTGTAAGAAGAAATTTCCAATTCGGTTTTCCGTTATTGTACTGGCGTTATTTTACTATATGTTGGAAAAAACAGTAACTATTTTTAAACGGAAAACTTTCATCGAAGTGTACTGTTATCATTTGGGGTTTATTCAGTGGTCGCTTAGCATCATTTGAACAAGGTTAGTAGTTTAACAGAAATAATTATTAAATTTAGTAGATAAACTCTCTGCATATTTGCAGCAATACAAACAGTCGTTGCAATGACCATTTTAGCTATGCAAGATAAAAATAGGTATAGTCTTATTCTTTATTTACAAGAGTTTTTAGCATATTAAATGAATCATCTCAAAGTATTTAGATTTATTTTAAAAGTAATCTACAGCCATAAAAATAAATAGTGATATTCTTTATAAAAAAAAAAAAAAAAAAAAACTATTAGAGAATTGCAACGATATCTTCCTTTAAACATGAATGTTAATTTCCCATACTTACCGACTTACCGTTTTGTCAGTACCCACAAGTAAGAAAAAAATTAACGTTGTATTGCCAATATATCACTTAATTGATAAATGATTACTATTTATAAGTCAGTGTAAGAAGAAATTTTCCAATTCGATTTTCCGTTATTGTACTGGTGTTATTTTCATATGTTGGATAACAACTGTATTTATTTTTAAATGGAAAAATTTTGTTATCATTTGGTGATTAATTCAGTGGTCGCTTGGCATCATTTAAACAAGGTTAGTATTTTAACATAAATAGTTATTAAATTCAGTAGATATACTGTGTTCAGGTCATTAATTCATCAGTCTAATTCTGCAAACGTTTATACGCGATTATTTTGATTTTCTTATGAAATTTCCGTTTACCTTATTGAACGAAAAAACACTTCCGACACATAGTTGATAGTCTCTGTAAAATTGTTTACTTTTATAGACTCCATGCAGTTGAAACCTTGACAAATTAACACATGGTCGGTTGATCCATCATTGTATTATATTGTTTATGCACCTGTCCGATATTGAAACCCGTATGTTGACCTCTGGATGCCGTGTCTTTGTCTATTACAGTTATTTGTGAATTATCTTTTACAATATTCTAAAAACATGTACAAAAATGGAGGCGAAGGATACCAAAGGGACATTCAAACTCATAAATCGAAAATAAACGGACAACGCCATGGTAAAAAAAGAAAAAGACAAACAACAGTACACAAAGCACAACATAAAAAACCAAAGACTGAGCAACACGAACCTCACCAAAAACTGGGGTTGATCTCAGGTGCTTCGGAAGGGTAAGCAGATCCTGCTCCACATGTGGCACCCGTCGTGTTGCTCATGTTAGTACAAACCCGGTGATAAGTCTAATTTGGTAGGTCACATTCGGGGAAAAGGGGACGGGAGATTGTAATTACGACAATTGGAACATATGCGTTGTCATTTGTGAAACGGATATTCCATAACGGTCAACCAACTCGTGATGGCGTCCGAAAAATTTACGTAGTGTAAAATCGAGTGAATCAATATAGTTTAATCTCATATGTACAATTTCAATAAAGTTAATCTTTCACTTTTGCAATATAACAATTATAATAATAGTTGTGCCCCTTGGAAACATTAGTCATATTGAAAATTGCATCGTTAGCGCTTATTGTCAGAATTTTATGAAACTTATATCATAGGTTTATATTAGCAATGTTTTGGACGAGTTCAATTAGTGCAGATCAATTATTTTTAAAAGAGTTATGCCCGTTGGAAATATAAATTATATGGAGAATTGCATTGTTAGCGATCTCATATATACAATTCCTACCAGAATTATATGAAACTTAAATCATAGGTTTATATCAGCAATGTCTTTGACGAATTTGAAAATCAGTGCCGATCAATAATTTTTAAAAGAGTCATGCCCTTTGAAATATTAATTATATGGAAAATTGCTAAGATCGCTCAAATGTGTACAATTCTTGCCAGATATTTATGAAATTGATATCATAGGTTCATATCATCAATATACCCGAAGAGTTCAAAAATGAGTGCCGATTAATTATTTTTAAAAGAGTTATGCTCCTTGAAAATATTGATTATATGGAAAATTGCAATGTTATCGCTCTCATTTGTTCAATCCTTGCCAGAATTATATTAAACGTATATCATAGGTTTATATCAGCAATGTCTTTGACACTTTTGAAAAAAAAGTCCTGATCAAATATTTTTAACGAGTTATGCCCCTTGGAAATATAAATTATAATGGAAATCACATTGCATTTGCTTTGAAGCCTTCATTCCCTTAAGATATCAATAAAAAGTTTTAAAGAAAAAAAAACGTGTTTTTTCTAGTTATTGCCCTTGTACCTTGGATAGATAAAATATGTGCAACGCTGGGGACATTGGAACTCTGTTCTTTTATTATATGTTGTAGATGACGATATTAACAGCCGGTTCATGTGCGTTTATAATCACCTCTACTGGGAATGCTTTACCTGCAGTTGTGGGTTCCGCTGCGGGATTAATTGCTTCAGGTGTTAAACTTTGGATACAATCTCAACCTCTCAAGGTAGCAATGGCAACAGCTGTGGGAACTGGTACATCGTCAGGAGCTATTGCTGGAGCTGTTGCTACTAAAACTGCGGCAAATGCTTTCACAGGTGCGCTAATAGGAGGCTTGTCTGCCGGAAGTGTTGGGTCTGTCATGGCTGGGAGTATTGCTGTAGCATCTGGTACATTGTCATCAAGCCCTGTAGGTTTGTTGACTGTCGGAACCAACTCAAGGGGGAATCAGATAACACACGATTGTTGGAAACAAGTAGTACACGAAACATCAGAGGAGCCATCAAATGGGATACTTCTGAAAGAGTTGATCTCTCATCCAAATGTTGCTGACGTAATAGTGAAACCATGTGGAAGTCTTCCATACGTTGTCATTGAGAATACCTGGAATGAAAAATTTGAACTCGAATATGTAGCACTACTTGACTCCGACAAATTGTTCTTACACGTTCAGCCACTCTGAAACTGAATGAAGCCACTACAACAATTATAATAATATGTCCGATGTTAACTTTAAAAATGTTAAGTAATATTACACGTGACCAATTTTTATTGTAAGGTATAATTCAAAATAAAATAAACTGTGTGAATAACGATACTGTCTGATTTTCCTTTGACTGTAAAACATCGACAACAATGGTAAGCCTCATGCATTTATTGGAAACCTACGGAAAAGAAGGAATATATTAATACATAACACAAAATCCCTACACATAATTAACACATCCCTAAACAAATAGCCAAACTTTTATTGCTTATATTCTGAGTCATTTTAAATACAACAAAAGCTCACACCTGACAGTGTGACAGACCCTATCATGGTATTAAATAAAATTCGTTGCCAGATGTCTTAGACGCTATATCTAAGCATTGAAGACTGACAGAGGTAATATCAACAAATTACAGACACTATAGACACGGATATCGGAAAAATACTTCCAATATTTGCCAGACAATCCAATCTCAATGTAGAGTACGGGAATCGCAAGTGTTTCAATCTTTTCTTTTCAACATTTGTCAAAGAAGGAAATTTGAAGTACTGTGACAAGGTTTACTTCCCTAGAATCACCTGCACTTACAAAATTTTGCTCTTCTCCATACACTACTGCTGGCTGATGAAAAATGGATGCGGAACCGTAATGATGAGCAAACGCATACACCATGCGATTACATAATTCAGTGCACAAGACGTACAGTATTGATGATGATTTCGTTGATACCTAAAGTTTGGTTACTATGTTGATCACATTTATATAAACATAAAAGATATCTCACTTAACAGCCATGTCCACTGAATACCTTGGCTTAGATATACAAATTGAAAATGAGGGTAGGTTAAGTACTCATTTAACTTTACAGCAAAATAACTTCAATTTTGTAACGGCACTGTGTTTATAAGCAACAATCCAGCAGCATATGGAATTTTTATCATATTGGTTTATACGATTTTCCATAGATTGAATTTCCGATCAGGATTTCGTTAAAAGACTATTATCAGAGAAAGCAATATATTATCATATTTTACTTGTTTTGTGTCTAAGTGAAGTCCCATCAAAATCGATAATGCTTTCAGATGTGCTCCAAGGATAATAATATCCAGCTTAAACAAGCAAGACAATACTGAAAGAGTAATAGAGTCTTTTTTTAAAGAACAGACAACACCATGATCAAAAACAAAAAGAAGACGAACAGATAAACTACTGCACAGAAATCTACTAATTGAGCAACAAGAACTCTGAAGAAAAAAAAACACGAGAAAGAAACTCACATGCTTCGGAAACTTAAGTAAATTCTCCAATAATAAGACCCCATCTTTGCAACTCATCACATTTATGATAGTGAAACTATCATAGCGTCCAAGCTTTAGTCAGGAGCCTGTGTTCAGTGGTTATACGGTTGAATCATGTCTGTCATATTTGCTTTTCGTAAATTGTTTTGTTATAAATGAGGCCGTTGGTTTTCTCGATTGAATTGTTTCATATTTTTCATGTCGGAGCCTTTATAGCCGCCTATATGGTATGGGTCTTTCTCATTGTTCAAGGTCGTACGGTTGCCTATAATTGCTTTTATCCACTAAATTTGAACTGGGGTTGATAGTTGTCTCATTGGCAATCATACCACATCTCCTTATTTTTATATTTAAGTCGCAAACAGAAAATCTCAATTTTGCAATACAAAAAATATAGTGGGTCCAGTAAATAATAGTTTCCAGAACAATTATTTGTCAAGGTCTATACTGTGTCCCATACATTTACTTTTGTTCAACATCATCTAGTAATTTCAATAAATATCAAATGAAAAGACAGACATAAATATGAAATTATGGATTTAAAACGAAGACAAATATATATAAAATGATTGGAATTTCTAAATTTTATTAATTAATAGTAAATGTGACTTGTCTAAACATACAAGAAAATCATTCTAATTTTCAGTGGAATGCTACAGAGTTTCAACACTGTGTAGCTACCTGTATATAAATACAGTCGACTCTCGTTATCTCGAAGCCAGTCGGCCCAGAGAAATATCTCGAGATACCGTTAGTTTGACTCAAACGACAGACCAAGGGATACAACTCTTATTTAGCTTGGTAAGGCTAAAATGAAATATGGGAATGGGGGTCGATATTCTGGTCTGAGATCGATATGTATCTGTATGTAATGTTCTTTAATTATTATAATAAATTCATATGATGTGTCGTCTCTTATTCATTTCTTTGTACAGTTACAATTTTCCCGTAGTTTTTAGCCGAAAGAGTAACTTCCAATCGATCTTAGCGTGATCTAAAGTTGACAAATTTGTTAATTCTCGTATACAAGAGATTTTAGAAAATTTAGATTTCAATTAATTTTCTTTTATTTCAATCTTTTTCTGCGAGAGAATGTACAAAAAGATTAAAGACGCCGATTGAGTAGTTTTGAGTTGATCACTAAGTCTTAAACAAGCTCATAAATTTATGATTACAGTTAATTGTTTTACAAACATTATGAATAATTTTTTATGACTTTAAAACAATGTATCACTAATTATTTATCATATGATCAAAGATAATCTAGAAAAAGAAATGTTATAAATCAATACAGTGGTTAGTGACCGGAAGTTTAATTACACGTGTATTGTCAGGTGAACTCTTTAATCAAATTAAATCCCCGAGGTCATGTTTTGACATACGTGTATTAGTTCGAGATAAATAAGGGAATTTGAATGCTTTTGTTAACCTTGGGACGGTAAATTTGGTTCGAGTCAACCGAAATTTCGACTCATTAGGAGTCGAAATACATATATTTATATGGAAAAAATTCGGTACCATGGGAAAACTTCGACTCATCCGAGATTTCAAGGCAACCGAGTTCGAGACAACGAGAGTTAACTGTATCCACATAGGCAATGTGCCATCTACTTTCAGTGTATACAAAGTGCGATTCCTTAAATACCATTCTAACTGTTCCTGTCATGTATTTCTAATATAGAATGATAAATAAACAGACAAAAAAATTGAAGATTTTTTAATAGATAAAAGATAATAATATATCAAATGTATTGTTTTTATAATTTCATGAGACATATAAGAGATGCGTACGTGTTTTTATTCCGCTATTCTGCTGATCAATATAATAGAAATATGTATATTGCTACTGCGTGATAACTTTTCAAAGTTTATTTCAGCAAGTACAAAAACTTTACAAGAATAATTGCCATAGAATTACGTGGTATTCATAGATTTTCTACTCCAGCATATTTTCGAATCTATGACACACTAATAGCGAACTCATCGAGAATATTTGACTATGCATGTTATGAAAGACACCTTAAAATAAAATGCTTCGCTGGGGCGCAGCTTGATACGACCGCAGAGGTCGAACCCTGAACAGTTGGGGCAAGTATGGACACAACATTCAAGCTTGATACAGCACTGAATTTGGATTGTAATTAAATATTTGACACAGCATAGGTTTCTGACACAGAATGAATGTGGTCTAAGAACTTAAAATTTTTTAATTTATCTATTCAAACCATATCATTATTATTTGCTTTTATATATAAATCAGAAATAACCAATTTAAAATGGAAAATTTCAAAGAAAAAAAAGGGAAAAAAAATCCCCCTCCCCCCAAAATTTTTTGAACCCCCTTATGATTCATCACCCTCAAACACAATCCCAGCCTTCCCTTTGTGGTATGGTACCTTGAAGTACATATGATGGACTGTGAAACTAAGATCAGGAGTTTGGGAAATTTTGGTCAGGAGATTAGGACTCAGATCAGGAGGTTTTTAATCGACATAAATTCTGTCATAAATGTAACCGTGTGCTGTAGAAATTGTCTGTTAAAGTGTGCTTTCTTCAACTTTCCATCCGAATGTATTATGTTTATAGTACCCTTGTACTTATAAATTTTCTCTATCTTTTTAAACTTTCAACTTGTTCAATCTAACATTCTTCTTTTTAAGTATGTTCTTTAAATTTTTTAGGTCATATCTTTTTTTCCATTATTCATTGCAATCAGAATATTTGCTTATCTATCTGCAAGTAGATCTTTTATTTTAATCTTTATGTAAGTAGATTTTTAATGCATGATAAGTAACACATTCAAACTGTATTCATGTGTCATAGTTATTATATAAATTTCAATTTAAGCCTTGAAAGGAAGTATAGAACCCTCAAATAATTTTCAAATTATTATTTTTTTATTTGTCCTAAGACATTTAAAATCATTTAATTACCATCCTTTTATGATTATTTGTTCAATTTATATTTTATTTATATTCTTTTAAAAATTTACATTATTTAAGGGAAAGTAACTTAAAACAGGATAAATCAAGGGAAGTAACCCAACATTCATTTATAAATATACAAAGTTTTATTACACAACGGCAGTTAGCCTGATGTAAAAATCGTTGATTACCAGTATGTTTGACACCCAAGGTGACAAGTGAAGCCATATAATTATCATGTTAATTGATTTACAGGTAAAATATAACTTCAGGTAATGTCAGTTACACCAGATATGTTGGGCTGAAATTTTTCATTCATGAAATATTTCATACACAGGATTTTTTTGTCTTCAACGGGAGGTCGGGAGGAGACCCCTGAAAACGGGATTATTGTATACCCTTCGGGAGGTTCACATGTATGATTACTGTACAATTTCAGGGAGATCAATACACTTGAACAAAAGTTATTGTCTGGAAACTAGAAAAATGCTTATTTTTTGGCCCCTTTTTGGCCCAAAATTCCTAAACATTTACGGCAATTACCCCCAAACTCAAACCCAGCTTTCCCTTTGTGATATGGAACCTTGCAGTACAATTTCATAAAGATCCATACACTTGCACACAAGTTATTGTCCTGAAACTAGAAAAATGCTTGTTTTTTGCCCCTTTATGGCCCCTAATTCCTCAAATTTCTAGGGATTTAACCCCAAAATTAATCCCAGCCTTTCCTTTGTGGTATGGTACCTTGCAGTACAATTTCAGAGAGATCCATACACTTGAACAAGTTATTGTCTGGAAACTAGAAAAATGCTTATTGTTGGCCCCTTTTTGGCCCCTTATTCCTGAACGTTGTGGGAAATTACCCCCAAAATCAATTCCAGCT